AAGTCTAATTATTTATATATATATATATATATATATATATTAGTTAAAATATATGAAATTGAAATAATTTTAACAATTTTATTTTGATTAATATTATATTTTTTTAAAAAGAATTATTTAAAATAAAATCAGTTGTGACTATATATAATTCAAATAAAAAAAAATTGTAGATAAATACTACAAAATTTTACAAAAATATTACTGCAATGATAATATATTAATAATTTCAAATAATAGAATGTAAGCTATAAAAAATAGTGAAAAGTAATATTATAAAAAAAACAGAATAAAAAATAAAAAATAAATTTCTACTTATACATGTAAATGTATTAAGTATAGTTTTTAATATATATTTATTTTACAATTTTCAACTAAAATTTAAGAAATTAAAATAATTTTAGTGATTTCTCCTTAATTAATATTTAAAAAATTAAAAAAGAAATAGTTATTTAAAAAATCCTACAGTAGAAAAAATTATTTAGATTCAAGACAGAAAAAAATGATTAAAAAATAAAAAATTAAAGATAATTTTTTTGAAAATTATTAATAGATCATAAAAACTTAATTATAATATTAATAAATAAATAATATTCAATAACATATTAAATAACGTATCAATTAAATACATATATTCATGTATTATTAGATAGGAGAAGAGAGGAAAAAGTATATGTATTAGAAATAGCTTTAAATATATAGAATAAAGAAACGTATGTATTTCTGCATACACTTTATTATTATTAAATAAATGGAGTTCAGACAGAAGTGATGTGTATATGCAAAGTGTATGAACTATGAAGTCATCTCATGGATTTGCTCATGCAGTAGGCAGCAGCAAGTGCCATGCAAGTTGCAACCAATAACGAGTTGATACCAGGTTGGGTTCCGTAGTGTAATCACAACAACAATGAATTCGTGAAAATTTGTCGTCATTGGTTGCTTTGCTTACATCACCTTTGAAACTCATTTCTTTATTTACTCTCCTTTCTCCACATTTGCTTCTTGTTTTAAAATAGCTAAAAAGCAAACCCCATTTTCAGAGGCTACCTGCCATGAACAGAGAGAATCCAGATATTTTGATTATGATGATTGCAGGGAAACAGATAATAAAGGAGTGTTACTGTTGAGGACAGTGTTTTAAAACCCGGACCGACCGGCCGGTCGGACCGGTTGGACCAGGAACCGGTGGTTCAGCCGGTCCGAATCTGAAATTGGATCGGTTATGCAGTTGACCCGTTTCAAACCGGATTGAACCAGTCAATTTTCTGGTTCAACCGGTGAACCGGTGGGTCAAACCGGTTCAACCACTTTTTTTTTTTTTTTAAGGGACCATAAATCACAAAAATAATAATGAAAATTGAATCTCTTAATGAAAAAGCAAGGAGTCTTATTAAATATAACAATGACTACTTGTTCTAATATATTTGTTTGCAATATATACAACTTAAATAACTTTTATAGTATATTATTAATTTTAAATTATATATTTAATAATGCAATATCTATGTAAATATTACATATATTATTTTGTGATATTAATTGCAAGCATATTATATATGTACATATTATTTATATTTTTAATTTGTATTAATATATCGTTTAACATGTAATTTTTTTATGTATTTTTTTACAAAATAAAAATAATTTTTTTTAAATAAGATAGAAAAATTGAAATTTAAAATAAGATATGAATTTATTAAAATTTATAAGTATAAAATATATTTAATATGAATATTTTTAATAAAAATAAATAAAAATCGAGTCATGCAGTTCAACTAGTGACTCACCGATTCAACCTTTGACACACTGACCCAGTACCTTAACCGGTTCGATAACCGGTCCGGATTTTGAAACTATAGTTGAGGAGGACAAAAGAGATGAGAGAGAGAGAGGGAAAAGATGGGCAACACAAATGAGTGCCACTGCAGTGCACCAAACTCTAATGCCTTCCCTCTTCCCCTCTTAATTTATGCCATTTTAATTTTTCCATTCATCTTCAACACGAAATTTTTATAGAAAAATTATTTTTTCTAAAAAAATTACCCTACCCTTTATTTATTTATTTATTTATTAAAGTATATCATTTTACTATTGTACTTCAGAATCTGATTCTTAGAGAGTCGAATTCTCAACTTCTTTATTAAATTATCAAAAATATTAATTTTAAATAAATAATTAACTATAAATTTTAATAAATATTAATATTTAATAATAATTAACTTATATTATTTAAATAAAATTTTTATTCAAAATAATTTTATCAAATTAATATTAAAAACTATTAACACAAATTTATATATTTAAATAAATATATAAACATAATATTTAATTTTATATACAAATTATATTTTATTGTAATATATAAAAATTATAAATTACAAAAATAAAGTAATTTTTATATAATATTTATTTACTAAATATTATATTTAATTAAATTTTGTAATACTATTAATATTGTATTTATTAAACTTAATATAGATTAAATTCATTAAATATATTATACTTATTAAATATATAAATTTTCATATCAATTTATATACATTTAAAGTATATTATCAAATAAAAGACAAAAACACACAACAAAAAATAATATAATATTTAATAGTCATTAATAAAATATTTATAAATATTTGAATAAAAAATTTACATAAATATTAAAATAATATTTAACCAACAAAATAATAAAATTTTAATTTAAAAAAATAATTAACTATAAATATTAATACACATTAATATTTAATGTTAATTAACTTATTTTATTCAAATAAAATTTTTATTCATAATTAATTTATCATATTAATATTATAAATTATTAATAAAAATTTACATATTTAAATAAATATATAAACATAATGCAATATATTATTTGTATTA